ATCCCACAAGCTAACATCACCTTGGATTACGCCTGAAATGTATAATTGTTCAGTCTAATAATTGTGTACACAAAAACATTCAAACCAAATCTCAATGAAATCAATCAATCAGATCTATATCAGAAATGTCTCTGATGGTGCCAAAACTGCACCAAAGCCAGGTTTAATAATTCAGTTTTAATAGTATTGTCACAAAACTAAATTTCAAATTCCTTAGTAAAATATTACATACATTACAAAATTACTAAATATGTACATATTTTTTATACCAAAGTGATGAAAAAAAAAAGTCCATAGTTTGAGTTTACCCTGATGTGGTGTGCCATTATTCCTACCAAAAAATTTCTCTCAGCTCCCTCAAATTCCTCCAGTACTTACATTTTAAAGCTTTCTTATTCTCTCCACTTCAAAATGATTGTTTTTATGTGTGGCAGCAGCAGTAATAGAGCCAGCGCTGGAGGTAAGAGTGAAGTCAGAGTACAGGGCGTAATGTGAAGCTGCAGCGATAGTGGATTGTGAAAGACACGCGAGGTTTGGACAAGGCTTCAGAAAGAATAGTTTCTTCAAACACTTTTATGCCAGAATCTTTATTAATGGAAATGTGAACAACTGGTGAAATTTGTCGTATTGTGGAACAGAGCAGGCAGATGTAAACATGCTGATGAGAGGTTTAATATAAGTTGTAATCACTCTGTAATGAAATATAAAATGTGTATTTTTTAATCTAAAAAGCAATTTTGTAACAGCTCGTCTCATCGCTTTGGGTGTGTTGTGTTGCAGAGGGTACTTGAAATGAATTCCAAGAATTAATATCAACTTGATAGAATGCGGTACACATGGTACTACCATGACATGCTCAAAATCTGGAGAGGGGTATGGGGACAAAAACAGATTGAACCTCTTATCTAAACTACAAATTTATGAATTAAAAGAATATCGGCCCAAAAAATCTATATCCATAAAAATATTTGTTAAAGTGGTTCTCACCCCCGCTCCTCGGAGCTTACGTTTCTCACATTTCCTGTTCAAATCTTCCTCTAAATGGGCGTAGCCTGGAGGACTAAAGGGGCGTGAACGAGACTGGGCCGTTTACATTGCTCTGGGCGGGGGGCTGCTGACGTCAGGTCCAACTTGCAGACGTCAGGTCCAACTTCTGTGCCAGTGTTGGTGCCAGATTCAAAATTCAAATGTAGTAATACAGGTCGCCAGCAGATGGCGCCTCACAGACGGTTTTAGGCAGAAAATCTAACTTTCAACTAATTTGCACCAAAGTGACAAGATTATGACCAGGATATGTAGACAACACTATTGGACACTCATTTATACCGTTTATCTGCAAAAAAAAGTGGATTTGAGGGTGAGTTGTCCTTTAATAATTGCCCTAAAAGAGAAAGTACAAGCTACGAGAGATGAGGTCCGCCACTATATTCTGAACATAGGAGTTTCATATAATTTAAAGCTACACTATGAATGTTTTTTTTTCCAAAACCATGCCTAAAGACACACCCTGCACTGGGAAAGAAAATACCCCTAAAATCAACAATGGGTGGGCATGTGCTTGTCCTGATTGACATGTTCTGCTACTACAATGACCAGGAACCATTCTAAAATCCTAGCTATTACCCCTTTAAATGTTATTTCTGTACGTGGTCAATTTGATCACTTTCACCAGCCTCTCTCTTAACCCCACCCATTTCCTGCACATCCCCAAAAATTATGCTGAAATACTACTCCATTTTACTTATCAAACTGAGGTGCCTTTCCTGCTGCTGTGAAACATAATATCCGCTGAATTCCCGTTGCATAATAAGCAGCCACTGCCCTCTATATTTGTAGCTTGTCATTTCTTTCTTGTAAAAAACCACACAGCTAAATGATAAATATCTTGCGTTGTTGTTTCCACCAACCTCACTGCTCAATATGTCAAGATAACCGCACTTTAAAACAGCCCAGGCATTCTATATATTCCAAAAACACAGCGCCATCTCTCTCCGTAATGGCCCTTGTTAGTTCTGCCGACTCGCCCCACACGAGATAATGGAGCAGATCTATGACTCCGTGTCCATGTGTGAGAATCAAATGGCGGCGTAATCTGGTGAAGGGCAACTTTTGTCACACAGTAAACCCACAGTCATTCCGCCCACCCTCCCGCAGCAGCTGGGTGGTTCTTTATGGAGAGTAAGTGGCGCATGTAATGTCCGCAGTGCAATGGGGCTTTATTGCTTTATGCGAGTGCGTATTAGTTTTATTAAGACAATCAGCTGCTATACGATGCAGGGATGTAGCCACGCTGTGCACGAAAGCATATGTCCGACTGTAATGATATCTCACTTAGAGGCGACGGTTACTTCCTCGTCGTGCACCGTGAAATACGATGGCGCGTGGTGTCTGTGCTTCAGCCATTCTTAGGGTGTTGTTGAATACTTGTGCTTCTCAACATGATCATATGCCATTTTATTAAAGAGAGTGCTTCCTATTTTATCAGCTTTTTGAAGTACATTCACCAGGGGCCACCAGCAGGACTCATGACTGGTCTTAATTCTATGTCTCTCTGACACCTGCGCACCAGCAGGACGTATGCTGACTATGCTCTAGGCCAGAGGGTTCTAGGTGTAATTTTTAAAGGCTTTATAGGTGCGGGATTAATATTTTAATTGAAGTAAAGTTTGTAGTCCATCTGCAAAATGTAACGGGTAAATAAAAAGCTGTAGCCCTAAATCCATTGACAATTCTTTACCGAAATAATTTATCTTACATCAGTTTTATTCATTATTATGGTGCTATGAGACTTGGGTGGCATCTCTGATTGCCACCCCCCTGACCCAGAAATGGATTAAAGGGTAGATAATGGATGGATGGATGGATGGACAGTTTTATTCAAATATAAATATACATTATTTTAAAGGCTTTTTCATGATGTGTTATTTCATATGTTTTATTCATTTGTGTGATTTTCATATGTGGCTATTTCATATCTTACGTGTAACTTAAGCTTGCATCAGAATAGTAAAGATCGTGAAGGGGTACAAACTGCAGTTGTCGCTCGATGAGCTCACGACGAGGATATCAAATATTCGTCGTGAGCTCTGAGGCACTGGAGCAGGGCTGGAGTTTAGGGGAAGAACCCACCCCAATCAGTTTTGATTAAAGCCAACGTTCAAATACGTGCAAGTGAAAGTATGCAAAAAGTACAAAGCGTTTCTTGTTTTTGTTAGTTTCATCAAACATGATACAAGAGTCAAGTGTCTTGTTTAATCCGTTGTTTTAAATGTTATCCATGTACAAATGGCAAATTGAATGCCCAAAAAAAGGCTTCAATCTAATCAATCAATCAATCATAGTCCAATGATATCAGTCCATTTACAGATTTGAGTCCGTAGCCTCTAGTGGTAGTATAGAGAGTTACACACGAGAAGCATTTTTTGCCATTCATTCCTTGTATCCTCTAAGTTTTAATTTCACATTCTATAATATGGCACAACAGAGAAAATAGTCCCATTATATTATTTATATCAAATAAGGCTCCTTCAAGGTAAGTCCTTCTCTGTGGTGCATCTGGATATTAAAGTTTTAGAAATTACATAATCAGTCCTGAGATATTTGTCCTGGGAAAGACAGGGCACACTGGAGAGGCTAAAGTCTCTGGATGAACTAGAGGAAGTGTGCATAGAGAGGAAAGTCTGGGTGTCTCACTGCTTCTTCGACGATAAAGCGGAAGAAAATGGAAGATTGTGGTCACAGTTCAGCCTCCAGTGGACATAATAAGATTTCATATAGATGTTTATTGTACATTTAATAACTATAAATTATTTTAGATTCTCTTTACACCCAACTTTTTTCCCTGGGCTGCACATATATATTGGGATGTTGAGTTTTGTTCAAATTATACTGTGGCAGTTCCTTCAGCCAATGTTTAGCCTCCAGCCTCTCTTTTGAAGAAAACAGAGTTGTATTCAGTGTTTATCCCGTATCTTGGCGCATTACGGCTTCATTTGGAGCAGTTAAATGCTATTATCCTGCTGCCCTTTGTCCTTGTCTGCACATTACCGCACAAAGCTGAGCCACCATCCACTACACTTTAATCCTGTACATATTTAATGATCGGGTTCAAGTCCAGGGCGTTTTTCTGCAGACACACTAATGGACATTTCACCACCGTGGATTTGTCTCTTGTGGCCTGGTGCCATTTTAATAATACTACCCCGTGGAGCCCAACGCCAAGAGCTTTTCTGTGTGGGTCCTTAAGATCAACAACAATCCCCGTCTGTACTCCAGCAAGTGCGAAAAGGCATTAGGAAAGTGATGTTTGGTCAAGGTCAGATTGTCTTCAAACTGTTTTTGAATACAACACATTAATGCTCAAAAATGAAGCTGCAGGATATCATTAAGAAAGAATAGGTATCTACATTTATTTTAACGGAACAATGTTGATCAACTTTTGGAAGCTTTAGTGTTGAAAAGTGTTGTGTGCGTACAAAACAACATAACTACTCTCAAAGTATATTGGACAGTGGCTCAGTTGGAAGAGCATTGGAGTGTTGTGGGTTCGATCCCACCGCGAGACCTTCTCCATCAACTCCTGCTGATGTCTGCTGACGTTGGGCAAGACACTTAACCCCCCTTGAGGTGGCACATGTAAAGCGATTTATGTGACCTTGGTCTATGAAATGCGCTGTAAAAATAAACATCACTGACTACCTGATGGCATGACACCAGTCTCTTTATCAGTTGTTCCCAGATGTGGCCAGTCCATGCAATTACTACTTACTACACTGACCCAGTCCACTATAGGATTTCAATCTGGAGAGACTGGAGACAAAGATTGCATTAGAATATTTATATTTAGATACATGAATAAACGTAATAAATAATGACGTGTCTTTGGTCTTCCATTCTGAATTAATGCTTTAAAGTTTTTTTTGTTTTTTTTTTGTTTTTTTTACAGTGGTCAGATATTACAGATGGGAGGTTCTTTTTCTAACTTCGTTCGGTGTTTCACTATGGGAATCGCCTTGGGCGTGACCATCCATGGAAGCTCCAATGGCACCACGTCTGTCTTTTGACAGACAGGTTGACAGTACCTACCACCGCCCACCTACCCTGGTACAGTCAACCTCCTCCTTTTGGAATCATTCTCGCTTTCTTCCCGCGTGGAAACCATATCTTTTAGCTCCTTCAGCGTTCTCGGACCTTAGGCTAGCTTCTGCTTAACAGTTCACAGACGAGCCGTAAAGGATTTCGTTGGCGAGCGCAGTTGCTGGTGCTTTGGTTCACCGACGCTGGGTAAGTCTTTACAGTCTTACCGCTAAGCTATTATTATTTTGTTACCGGAGCAGTGACCGCGTCAAGGCGAACTGCTCTTGTGTTTACGGGGACAGATCACATTAAGTTGCGGTCTGTCCTATCACCTTGCGGTTAGCATTCACTTGTTAACCCAGGGCTCTCGCGTAAAGCGGAGTCCTTCTGTTCGGTTGGTTAGTATTAATTTACTGGCCAACAGATTGTAGTGCGCGGTTCTGTTAACGTGTTGTGGCGAACAGAATTTGCCTGGACCTGATTTTTCGACTTAAAACCCGAATTGTCTGGTTCATACAATCGTGCTCACTCCAGCTCTGCTCTCTGTCAGGCATGTCTACGGCTACCACCCCCGCCAAAGGGTCGGATCCGAAGCCGAAGGAGGCTGCATCCCCCTCATGCCCTGCGTCATGCGGGTCTGCCATCTCAGGCAGGGACCCTCACCCAATGTGCATAACCTGCATGGGCGCAAAACACGCTCAGGCAGCGCTCGCTGACCGCGAGTCCTGCGGGTATTGCTCATCTATGCCTGAGAAAATATTGGAGAGGAGGCTCAGAGTTGCGGTGGCTCATCCCCAGGACCCGTTGCTGGCGGGGACCACCGATAAACCCACAGCCGTCACTCAACAGCCCCGTAAGACGGAACTATGGTCAGATATGCTGAATGACGATGACGCTGATATGCCGCCATTATTCGAGGACCTGCTCGAAGTGGACCCAGGCGACGAGGGCGCAGACGCCGATGATGCCGCTTCTGACTTCCTCGAGGCTGTGGATATGGATGATGTGGAGGAGGACTCTACATTCCCAGCGGCCCAGTCCCGACCCTCCAGCGCATCTGAGGCTGCGACTCCCGTCGATAGCAGCCTATATGATGTGTGCAAGCGCGCTACCGCCAAGCTTAACATAACCTGGCCAGACACTGTAGATGCGGAGGATGGGGAAAGGGATTTATATGACGGTAAACGGCTCCCGCCAGCGCATCCACCTCCGAAGCAACTTCTCCCTGCTGTCAGCGCGTGCATGAGAGAGGTGGGGAGGTTTTGGAATAACCCACTTGGAAGCAAGCTTCCTGTACAGGGCTATTCAAAGCTGGAGATCCATGGGATGAAGGAGCTGGGGTTGGCCGAACCCCCAGCGGTGGAGCCTTCAGTGGCTTTTCACCTCCATCCTAATCGCCGTTCCGTCTCAGCCTCAAGTCAGGTTTCCCTGCCCACAAAATCAGAGAGAGTTACATCCTCCATTCTGCAACGCATGTACAGATATGCTTCTCAATCTGCATGCGTACTGAATACTGTGACTTTACTGTCCGGTTATCAAGGGGAACTACTTGAGGAAATGGGACAACAGCTGGACTCCGGGTCTCCTAACCCGGTCCTCTGGGAGGAAATCTGCGTGGTAAATGACCTCATCCTACGCTCAACTCGTGGAGCTTTCCAGGGCTGCAGCCATGTCATGGGACTGGCCGTAGCGGGTGAGAGGGGTCTATGGCTCAACCACTCAGGTCTGACAGACGCTCAGAAGGCTGAAGTTATGGACACTGCTTATGACCCTACCAAAGGTCTATTTGGTACGGCCCTGGAGAAGATGAAGGAGACCAGTACCCTCCGTAAAGAGGAGGGTGCGGCCTTTAATCTTTGGCTGCCAAGGAAACAACCTCCTCGTCCAGTGCAGCCCCAGAGAGCTGGGCCCCTCTAGACAGACAGGCCCCAGGGTTCCCAGGGCGGGCCCTGGGCCGCAGAGGGGGGCAACCCAGCACCCTGGCCAGCATTCCAACCAGCATTCTGGCCAGCAGCAACGGCCAGGCAACTCCAGACCATGGGGAAAACACTCCTATGCTGCGGCTGCAGCAAAAAACCGCTCTTCTCAGCCCGGGGAGAGCAAAAAGAAGCGCAATTCCTAGCAATCAAGCTTCTTCACCTGTTCCCCCTCTGAAAAGGAGGAGAATGGACCCTGGTACCGGTTCAGAGGCCCCGCACAGTTCTCCAGGCGACCTCTCTGGCTTTCTCTCCCCTCGCACGTTACAGGGAATGAGTCTTGGGTCTCATGTTCACAAAACACTTTTTCAAAAAAAAAATAAAGTTGTTAAACTCGCATCCAGGCCAAGGGCTAAGGGTGAGTTATCAATCAAACAAAAAAATTCAATTAAGTTTGGATCATTCCCTTCGTTCGCCTCCAGAGGGAGCTCACGCTCCTTCTCAGGCAGAAGGCTCTGCTCCTCTCAGGGGAGTGACGTCACCAGGGATTCCCCTGGTGCAAGCCCCACTCTCTGTCAGAGCGGAGCAGTGGCGCGCATGCGCAGTCAATCCTTGGGTTCAATCCACTGTTTCTCGAGGTTACAGACTGCAGTTTGCTATAAAACCACCCTCCTTCAACGGAGTACTTGTTTCAGTGGCTTCAGGGGACGCAGCCCGTGTCTTACAGGACGAAATTACATCCCTGTTAAGCAAGCACGCTATCCGCATTGTACCAGAGAGCGAGTCTCAGCTGGGCTTCTACTCCCGCTACTTTCTGGTTCCAAAGAAGGGCTCTCTGTCACTGCGTCCCATTCTAGACCTTCGTGTTTTGAACACACATCTACGGAGATTCAGATTCAAAATGTTGACGCACAAAGCTCTGTGTCGTTCAATACGCAAAGGGGATTGGTTCACCACAATCGATCTTGCGGATGCATATTTCCACATCGAGGTGCATCCAGCGCACAGGAAATTTCTCCGTTTTGCTCACGGGGGAACAGCGTACGAGTACCAGGTCATTCCCTTCGGTCTCTCCCTAGCCCCACGGGTGTTCACCACTTGTGTGGAGGCAGCTCTGGCTCCTCTCCGGGCCAGGGGAATACGGATATTCTCTTATATAGACGATTATCTGATATGCGCCAGTTCACAGGGCGCCGCAGTGAGAGAGACTGCCACAGTGCTCAGTCACTTGACCAGCCTGGGTTTCAGAATAAACCATGCAAAGAGCCGGTTGGAACCCAGACAGCAGACTCAATACCTGGGTTTATGCATAAACTCTGTTTCACATCGAGCCACACTGACAGACGAGAGACGGCTGTCTCTCACTCGCTGCTTGGCGTTTTTCAACCCGGGTGCGACAGTCACGTTCAGAACGTGCCGGCGCCTCGCTGGTCTCATGGCGTCAGTAATATCTGTCGTGCGCCTAGGGCTTTTAATGATGAGACCATTTCAACGTTGGATCACAGCGTTGCGCTTGTGTCCCAAACGTCACCTTCACCGCAGAGTGAAGGTGGATTCCCAGTGTGTTATTGCACTACGTCCGTGGCGGGAGGCTCATCATGCTCTTTCAGCCGGAGTCCCGCTGGGCGCCGTGTCGTCAAGGGTTACCCTGACAACCGACGCTTCCCTGTCAGGGTGGGGGGCCACTCTGTCGGGTCGGACGGTGAATGGGACCTGGGACCCACATTTAGCCCAGAGGCACATCAATGTGCTGGAACTTTGGGCGGTGTATCTAGCTCTGAAGCATTTTCTGCCTTTCCTTCAGGACCATCACGTTCTGGTGAGAACAGACAATGCAACAGTTGTCTCGTACATAAATCGCCAGGGTGGTACCCGCTCTCTTCAGCTGCACAGGCTGGCACAGAGGGTGATTTTGTGGAGCGACACAAGGTTCCTATCTCTCCGAGCGTCTTATGTTCCAGGCGTCCTCAACAAGGGGGCCGACCTGCTATCGAGGGGAAACCCCCTGTACGGAGAGTGGGTTCTCCACCCTCAGGTGGTGGAGCAGTTGTGGCGGAGATACGGTCGGGCTGCCGTAGATCTCTTCGCCTCGCGGGAAAACGCAAAGTGCCCACTGTTCTTCTCTCTGGGAGACGCAAACGCGTCTCTGGGCGTGGACGCTCTGGCCCACCCGTGGCCGACCGTTCTACTATATGCGTTTCCTCCCATCAGTCTGATCTCACCCACCCTAGCGCGGGTGAGAGAACAGAGGCTGTCGCTCATTTTGATTGCTCCCTGTTGGTTGTCCAAGCCATGGATGGCGGAGATAGTGCAGCTTTTATGGGACAACCCAATGGCCTCTTCCTCTGCGGAGGGACCTGTTGTGCCGGGCGGGCGGGGAGATTTTTCATCCTCCCCCAGACCGGGTGGCTCTCTGGGCCTGGCCCGTGAAAGGTGGAACTTGAACGCCACGGGTCTTCCGGCGTCTGTTATAGATACTATACAGTGTGCTAGGGCCTCCTCCACTCGCTCTTTGTATAGCTGCAAGTGGCGGGTTTTTGAGGAATGGTGTGGGGCTAGACAGATCATCCCGTTCCAATGCTCCGTGTCTGACGTCTTATGTTTTTTACAACATTTGTTAGAAGAGCGTAAGGCTTTTTCTACTATAAAGGTCTATTTGGCTGCCATATCGGCGTGCCACGTGGGTATCGGTGACAAAACTGTGGGACAGCACCCTCTAGTTTGTCGCTTCATGAGGGGTGCACGACGTAAACTTCCAGTGGTTAAGTCCCTGGTTCCCTTGTGGGATTTGTCGGTCGTGCTTGATGCCCTTTGTCATCACCCTTTTGAGCCCTTAGGGGCTGTGGCCTTGAAGTATGTTGCTTATAAGACAGTTCTGCTTCTTGCTCTGACGTCTGCAAAGCGCATGAGTGAACTACAGGCTTTTTCTGTCAGCCCCTCGTGTCTGCAGTTTGCGCCGGGGTTATCTAAGGTGCGCTTGCGCCCTAACCCGGCTTTTGTACCAAAGGTGGATTCTGCATATAGCTGCCCTACACTGGAGCTTAATGCCTTCCATCCTCCGCCTTTCTCCTCTGAGGAGGAGCGGCTACTGCACTTTTTATGCCCAGTGAGCGCTGCGGGTATATGTTGACAGGACAGCTGGTTTAAGGAAAGCCGACCAGTTGTTTGTGTCCTGGGCTTCTCCCCATTTGGGAAAGCCGGTGTCCAGTCAGAGGATCTCTCACTGGATTGTGGAGGCAATTTCTCTGGCCTATACCTGCAGGGGGGTAGTTCCACCGCAGGGGTTGAGGGCACACTCCACCAGGGGTGTTGCCACTTCTTGGGCCCTGTTCCGAGGTGTGTCTGTCCAGGATATATGTGCGGCGGCCAGCTGGTCATCACCGCATACCTTTGTTCGTTTTTATCGACTGGATGTCTCTGGCTCCTCTTTGGCTCAGGTAGTCTTGGAACCAAGTGCTTCTGGTACTGTTTGAGGTCACCGTCTGGCGCCTCGGTGGTCCTTTTGCTTCAGGAGCAGTCCTTGCAGAACCTTACCCCGGTTCTTTGATAACAGAGTGAGGTGTTTCACCTTCATTACCCTCCTTGCAAAGCGGTCAGAAAGCGCTTTTGAATGATTCCAAAAGGACGAGGTTGACTGTACCAGGGTAGGTGGGCGGTGCTAGGTACTGTCAACCTGTCTGTCAAAAGACAGACGTGGTGCCATTGGAGCTTCCATGGATGGTCACGCCCAAGGCGATTCCCATAGTGAAACACCTCACTCTGTTATCAAAGAACCGGGGTTACGTTAAGTAACCTTAAGTTTTCCTGTGTTGTCTTTTCTCTTACTGATCTTGTTAGTTGTCATGATGGCAAACAAGATCAGATTTAAACTATGGATACAAGAAGCAAGAATACACAGATTGCACATGGAACTCTCTTCTCCAAAGATCACATGCATAAATCTGTCCAATCTGTAAGACTGGCCGCTTCCAGGAACAACAGTAGATAAGGGAAGTGGAAACCACTGCCAGGGGGTTAAGCAGGACTGGTTTAACTAAAGAGCAGAATCTTTCTAAAGTCTATTCAGAAAGAAAATACAGATGAAACTCAGATATACAGAATATCCATTCAATAGTCCCTTTACTTCTGTAATTCAATGAGAAATATATCATGGCTCACAGTTTGTATAAAGCCCAAATAAATATCAGAAAATTAGGTTATTTTGAGAATGGATGGTAATCTATTCATCAAAAGTAAAACCGGAAAAGGCTCGGTATATGTCACTTTGTGTTCAGTCACTTTGAGTTTGAGTCTATATCTTATTGGTTTCACATTTTACGTTGAATTACAGAAAATAATAAATCACTTTTGAACAAAAGCATTTTCAGAGTGTTCCTCACAACTTTCCTGTCTGACCTCTGTGGCCATTTTGTTTTCATTCACAGGAATATGTTTCACAACTCAGAACCACTTTGCACAATTGCATCATTTAGTTTTCAACAGTTTGAAAACAAAATGGTCCAATGATCTTCTAACCGCAGCAGTTGAAGTGATTATTTGAAATGTTAGTATATTTTAGTCTTTGATGAACAAAGCATGGTGTTTGTCAGGTGCATCGTCATCAGACTGTGCTGCCTCTCCCCAGGGCTCGCATGGCTTTGGATAATATTTGCAAAGAGGTTACGTGACATGAGTTTCCGGGCCTCTGGGCTGTGGTATTTTGGTCTGTTTTTGATATTTCAGCAGCATGTCCGTGATAATTAGGCTGACATTTCAAGGCGCTTTGATGTCTTTCCTCTTGTGTCTGACACAGAGAACCACAGCGAGCTGCAACTGCTTTCTCTCCAGAGGTTCGGTCTCCTCTGCCCTTGTTTACCAAAGAAATGTTGGCCATATTTTTTTATGATTGTACTTCTAAATGGGTCCTAAAGAAGGCCGGTTGTTTGACAAGCGCTTTCTTTTGGGTGGGCTTTGAAAATCTTAACCGCTGACATTTTGATTCATAGTGCAAGTGTGGTACAA